GGGTCCCTCCCAAAGCCCTTGAGTTTTTTTCGATTGATGATAATCCTATGTATATATAACGTAAAATTTAATTAAGTATTTGTTCTTTACAATTTATTTTATTAATTAATGCTAATTATATTAATTCAATAATTTATTTTTTACTGTTTTCTGTTAACAAAATCGGAAGAATCAATAGGTGTTGTCTTGAGGTATGATACGAGTTGGGGGACTTTCGACGATAGACTCCCTCCCCCCCTTGAAAAATATTTTTGTGCGCTACTGGAATTGACATTATTTTACACATATATAGATTATTTTTCTCCCTGAAGAGGATTTTTTATGTCCCGTTTTCTAACTTTAGAAGAAGATAAAGTTATAAATTGATTAATTGTATATTAACATTTGGAAACAATGAGTTGACTATAAAAAAATTTCGAAGGAATTTCGGTGGTAAATACCACTGACTTCTGAACACTTCGAATTATGAATGAGACATATTCAGTTGATCTTTCAGTCACTTGTGAATAGTGAAGGATAAGAATAAATCTATTCAAATAACTTCCTAAAATTTTGGTAAATACATTTAAAAACAAAGAGAGCATTACTTTGTAAAACATCATGCGCATTGTTTTAGTAAAATATCCTTTTTAACAAAACCAGTTTTCCGGCCATTTACCATGTCCATTGCATGCTTCAATCACTTAAACTCGACCTATTTACTAGCAGCTACAGGCCAAGCGGTTTAAAAATGCAAGGGAGTGACCCGAAGGGAAGGGGGGAGGGTGGCAAAGAGAAGAGTTCGATATCACTCTGTGGCGTTCCGTAAAACCCATAAACAACCCTCATCGTTTTTTCTAGATCGTCCAGTAGCGGCAAGGCGCCAGAGTGGGTGTGGGGTGCGGGGTCGAAATTCCATTGTGCACTCCGTGCAAGAAAACTTTTTAAGTACACCAACAACAAAAGGCGGAGAAGAAAAAGAGGAACTTGTGGGTTCAAAAGAAGAGCAGTGATCGCCGGCGACCCCCCCCCCCCACTAAAGGTCAACGCACGGCCCTGTTGATTCTGAAAAGTTCGTGCCTTGCTTCATTCCCTTGATAAAAAAAGCATTTTGAATTAGTTTTTTTCGTCTAGGGAGAAATTTATGGTAAAAATAAGATGAAATTTTATTAAAAGAATTTTTCAAGTTAATTTGGGTCTGTATGAATAAAGAGATCGGAAATCATTTATGCTGGCAATTTTCCTTTCAGTGACTCGTTTCGGTATCTGCTTCTAAGCTAAGAGATTGTAGCTCGATATTGATATTTGTATCAGGTTGTTTGTATGAATGCAACTATATTATTACTTATTTTTAGGAACTAGAGCAGGTGTGTAATTAAAATCAAAACTTTTCATAAATTTCAATTATAAAAATTAAAATAGGTTATATTTAGAAAAGAAAATGGCTTAAGTTCTTGATAAAATTACTATCCCTTTTGTGAAATACAACAAGAATGTAAATTATTTAAAAATTACATTCGTGTCTCAAAATTCTTTAAAAATATGTAACAACTATCAGAAGCTGGGAATTTCTATTATAAGTATGTGTGATCAGAATTTTTTTAATTTAAAAATATCGTGAACAATTTTTTTTATTTACTTCAGAACAAGAAGCCTGAGAGAAACATGCAATGCAGGCAGAGTTGTACACAAAGGGTGGGTTTGGGAGTTCACAACACTTCGCCCCCAAAGACTAACGAACTTTTAATTTTCAACATGTGGCACGGCTGAGTTGTAACAGTGATACGCTAAGACTTTTTGAAGAATTGAACAAATTGAAACGATAATAATCAATACCAATTTTTTAACAGTTTTGTTGAAAAATGGTTGTCTGACAAAAAAATCTTCAAAAATTATTTAAAAAATATACTTAACTGCAATATGGTAGGAAATAATTCTACAGAAAATACTCCTTCACACACTCGTAAAATTTAGGAATTTGAGGCCTCGTGTTTTAAAATATTTGGAAGAAAACAATGAACTTCCCAGTGAGTATCTGCTACTCAAGACTGAAGATTGGCTATGAGACTTAGCTTTTCTTACCGATACTATGGGACATTTAAATAATTTAAATTTAAGATTATAAGGAAAAGATTGTATTTTTTCTATCTTAATTTATCATATTTATAATCTTTTGTGGAAAAACTTTTGCTTTTTTTCTCTCGATTCTGGAGAACAAAGATTAATACACTTCACATTAATGCAGGAATACGATACGAATGATACGAATTACGATAGATTTAAGATTTTAATATTCATTTTGTAGGATTGACTCGGTGCTAGATTTGACGATTTTCAAGATGATTAAAAAAAAGGTTGATCTTTTCATGCATCTCTTTTCCTAATTTCCTTCCAAGGCTTGCGTAAAAAATGCTCTATTTGAACAAAAAATCCAAAATAAGTCTATGCCTATACGTAAAATTTTTTGACCTTTTCATTTTTTTATCAGATAGTGGCACTCTTCTCAAAAAGGTTGGCCACCCCTGCCATAAAGATTACTTCTTCGAGCTTATGTCTACATGTTTTTAGAATGTACCCACTCACCCCCTCATAAAAGAGGTCTTTGTACACCCCTGATTGTAGGATATGAAATTTAGTGAAAAATCGTAACAAATAAAAAAGCATTTAAAAAAAATAATGGATACACAATGTAATGGACTAAATTTATGACGGTTGCATGATAAATATAAACACGTGTTCTACATTGAATTCAAAACGGACAAGAAACTATATAGCTGATACTTTTTATTCTATTTGTAAAACTTAGGTAAAATTTCAAATTGCATAATTGGGTAAAGATGCTCAAGAGTTATAAAAAGAAATTTCTGCAAAAAGATTTTAAAATTAAAGAAAAAAAAAGTCTTGTTTTATACATGTACTTTTAAATACATTGAGAAATATTAATTTAAAAAAAAAAAAAAGTTTCTGTAAAAAGCGTAATTTGGCAACAACGAAGTGCATGAACTGATTTGCTGAAAATAGATAATTGCATTTATCGTGGCTATGACGTCACATGTGCTTTTGAACTTGATTGGCTAAAAACACGTGGTTTGAAATTATCATGTGATTATGACGTCACATGAATTTAGTCCATAGTAAAGTAGCACGTTTTTTTTTATTTAAAAGAAATATTTACATATCTTTTGATACAATTTTAACTAATTAAATTATACCATAACTATATTTTCAAAGCTACTGCATGTATTACAAATAAGTGATACATGAATGTAAAGAAAATATAACAAGTTTACTTTTTTGTTATAAAATTTTTCGATGTGTGACCCTCTTGTTACACGTTATACATCTAATCTGTAATCCAGTTCGTTCGTTACATTTTGCAGCATCAATCAAGCAATGGTTCGTAAAACTGCACAAATACTTACTTGCTGTCCTCTGTTATTGTCTGTCGTGCCAATTGCAATTGATACGGCTTGAAATTTTATTTTTTTCGCAAAATTTTTCATACCGTCTTTTGGGGCATCACAAGTTTACAGGCGGCGACTCTCGTAGACTTCAAAGAAAACTCTGCCCCACCCTCTCCACTGCTTCTTCCGAAACGCTTGGCCGACCGCTGTTTACACAAGCAAACTGTTTTCTTAAATTAATGATACCAACGCAGAATGCCCTCGTTGGTTAATGCTTCTTTTCCATAGCGATTTTTAAATATACAATGCGGGGCCGTGGGTAGCCTAGTGGTTAGAGCATCGGACTCCAGACTGGAGGGCCTGGGTTCGATGCCCGATGTTACTAAATACCACCGAGTATAGACGGAGTACGTGTTCGTTAAATCAGTGGTCTTGTGGGTGGTCGCAGCAGAAACCACGAGTGCAGGGGGCTGGTGAATATTTCCCTCCCCTTTAGTTCCATGCCAAAATTGTGGAGGTGGAGATAGGTGGTGTCGCCATCTATAGTTAAGAAGTCCAACCTGTCTCACAGGCAATGGCAACTTTCATTCCTTCCCTGCGGGAAGGACACAACAACAACAAACGAAACAACTGAAAAAATATTCTATACGTATACTCTATTATGCAAAAACCTCTGTCATTTTCTCCTGTTTTGGATTCAATCACATCGAACTTGATTGTGCTATTGATTATTGTTGGGAAAAAAACTTGGTACATTTCTCTTTATATTCATAAATCACTTTTTGTAATATACCCAGTAGTTTCGAAAGTATGATTTTTTAAAATCGAGTCTTATCTTTTGTGCCCACCCTGTATTAGTAATTATTTTAACCATAAAAGAAATCCATAAACAACTAACTGAATGAAGTGAAAATATGTTTTAAAATTAACCTTTTTAAGAATATAAGAACATTCGTATAATGATTGAAAAAGAAAAAATTAATAAATGATAATCCTAATTTTTAAAAAAGACACATAATTGAAATGAATTACAACGTTATTTGGTAACGAAGTTATCAATATTTTGGTAAAATTCACATCTTGATATAAAGAAATATGAACAAACAAAGCAATAACATATTAGGTTAAAGCTTAAATGCTCAGGAAATAAGAAGACATAATTGTGCTTTCAAACTTTTGAAGCGTAATTCTTCGCTCTTTAATTTACAGTGAGTCTCATGGATTTCTCAGTTCATAACGAAGAAAAATAATACTGTTTGATACACACACATATTTCAGGAGGGATATAAATCTATTAAGTAATGATTGAAAATATGCTATAATACTGAACTATAGAACAAACAAGTAATGTAAAAAAAAAATTAAGTCAATTCCTACTTTGGTAAACAATAAAAATTTTTATTTTAGCTACTTTTTATTAAATAGTTACAACTAATATAAATATGTATATACATATGACAGAATCACAATATTAAGTAACAAAATAGAAAGAGATTTTTTCCATTTCCCTTTCTATATATGGTATATATATATGCTGGACTATCTTTTGTGTTACTATTTATTCATTAATTAAATTTAATTATAGTAGAAAAGAAATCACATTCTCAGAAATTAGACCAACCCAGGTGGTATTCGAAACCACGACCTTTCGATTAAAAAACCAAGACGCTATCCATTGTACTACAGGGATACAACGAAGGAGTTTTCTTTCTATATATGTTGTTATACTATTATTTTTGTTACTATTTATGCATTTTTTAATTTAATTAAAGAATTAATATTTGAAAAAACTGTATTAACATCAAGCAATCCACTACAAACTTTAAAAAGAATAGAAAGCATTTTATTAAAAATTGAAAATTTGAACTAAATATGTATATATATATATATATATATATATATATAGGAGAGAGAGAGAGAGAGTGAACTAATAGTAGGAAGGTACCTCGAACCTCAATGCTTTTTTATACATCAAACAACTTATATACCTATTTCTATGAAAAAATTCCTTAGTATACATTCTCTATAAAAACTCTTTTTCTAATGAATGATTTAATGTCACACAAAAAAAGAAATTTTTCAATATATTAGCAAATGAAAGAAAAGCAATTCATATAACTAAAGTCCAATATTTATGCTGTACAATACTTTATAAAAAATTAACGGGCATGAATAGACATTCATACAGGGTTTTCAGAATACTAGATACGCGCGATTATATATAGTTTTCTGTCTCTAAAAACAGGAGAACCATATATTCTGAAAGATTTTCCTATTTTATTCCGGCAGAAATGAAATGCAGATACCATCAAACTGTTGACGATCTCGGCTTCTTCGTCCGCAATAAAGACCGAAGAAAATGACGCACTTTTCTTTTCAGCCAGGGCATCTTTTTCGTTAAGTTTCAATTTTCCAAATGCTGCAACCGCGATTCAGACACGTCTTCTTGATCTATTACGCCAAATAAAATTTAAAGAATCCTTCTTCTTTCTTGTGGTAGAGTGAGCCAAGAAATTCCATTTCGTAAAATACGCGTTCCTTGGCATCAGACTGCACTTTCCGAAATAGGAAGCGAACAAATGCAGACAACCAAGTAGCAGCGATGACAAACAACTGTTCCATAAATCACTTTCTGTGATTCGATTCCGTTCTGTAGTTGCTCCTGGTGATTAAATCACGGATTCTCCGCAGATCTGATCACTGGATTGTGATCAATTATTAATGGTTTTGGGAACAGTTATGAATACAAAACCATTGTTATAAGAACACAGAGTTGAATTGATTTGACTTTTTAACCCCTTAAGCGATCAATTTTTTTGCCTAAAAAGTTTCAAATAAGACACATTTTTTATTGTATATAACTAAGCATAGTACTTACTTAACAAAACGCAAAACGGAAGAATTTTATTTTAATTTTCAACTGTAAAGTTTTTACACTATTTTTTATTTTATAACTGTGGAACACAAAAACTACTAAATGTTTGCTTTTTACAAGGACACTCTGCATGCTATGAAAAATGTTTAAAATATCTTAAAGGATCTTTGAAACATTTTGTATCTTATATTTACAAAAAAATTTCATGTTTATACCTCTTTTTTAAGAGGTCTCAGGGGTGTTAACTATCTCTAAAGGGCTGATAATATAAACAATATTCAAATATATATAACTCTTTGAAATTAAAATTAAATAATTCAAATCTTTTACACATTCTTCTGAAGGAATGGGGCTTCAGAGAGAGAGAGAGAGAGAGAGAGAGAAGAGTAAAATGCTTAAAATATAATAACAATTTTAAAAATTATAAGCATATGAAAATAAGAAATATTTCTATAAAAATATTAATTAAATTTTACGTTGCGCATGCTATTTTCTAAAGTAGTAGCGTTAATTACTAGCAATAAGATGATTTATAAAGTTAAATGTATCCTTATTACACTGCAGTATTTTTAAATATATTATATTTTTAAAAAAATAAAAATTTACTTTTTCAAAATTTTTTTTAAAAATTTCAATATTTTTTAAGTATTTTGAAATACAAAAGATATACTATTCTTAAATTAGTAGAGTTTAAAGAGTATGATACATTTTATAATTCTATAAAGTTTTATACATCAAAGGCTATTATTTTAGAAAATAGCGTGCGCAACGCAAAAATTACTTAATATTTATTACAAAATTATTTCTTATTTGCATATGCTTATGAGTTTTAAAATTATGATTATATTTCAAACATTTTGTACTTTTTTTGAAACCATAATCCTTTGTAAATAATGTGTAAAAGATTTGAATTATTTAATTTAAATTTAAAAGAAATATACCTGTTTGAAAATTGTTTATATTTTCACTCCTCGAGACAAAATTAACACCCCTGAGACCCCTTAATCGGTTAAGGATTTTGTGTGTGCGTCATACACAATTTGAAGCATGTACTACTAAATCTTACATTGCAATGGAACAGAGATAATATATCATTATTTGGATTATCTTCCCATTTCCATTTGTTCTCTAGCAACAAATTGTACATTGCCTTTGCCAATCCCTGTTATTTATCGACTATTTTCAAGAATCTAAATTCTTGTCTTTAATGAAAAATTCCCACCTTCACCATACCATGAGAAGTATTTCAATAACGTGGACAAATTTAAAAACACTAGTACTAATAATCTCACCATAAGAATTAAGTATATGAGTACATTTAAGATAGAAAGAAGAAAATACCAGTGTCAGAGTACAGAATACGGGGAAACCAGTTAAAGAGTTAAAGCTTTGTTTGACAATTGTGAAGTATCAAAAAAACCTTTTTCAAAAATTTAATTTTTTGGGGAATATTGAAAAAAAAATGAAGCAAATAACAAATAAATATCATGATTTTCATTACTTTCTTTCAATAAAGGTATGTGATCACTGGCGTGGCTAGTCCTGATCAACATTTTACGGTAACCCTTTTTTCAAAATTCAATTTATAAAGATCCCATCAATAAGTCTTATTTGGAAGTGACGAAATATTACATCTGTTGGGGCTTCTGTAGCTTGATGGTCTCGTATTATTGATACGGCTAATACAGCGGTACCTACGCCAATGTGTATCATGAATCTTTTTTGAAAAGACATATCACTAATTTAGATATTGTCCTCTTCCCTTGATAACCATTCTTTTTATAAAGTCACAAAATGTGTCAGATGTTTACAAAATAATTTAATACCATATTTACTCGAATCTAAGCCACCACCAATTCTAAGCCGCCATTCCAATTTTTGAGAAAAAATAAGAAATGATGTAAAAGGCTTTTAAATATCGAATACTTTGGAATTTTTTTTAAAAAAAACTTAATGGGTCACAGCTAAACTTGGAACTGGTTCACGTGTCGTTGCCATTTTCCCACACGATGTTGTCTTCCGTGCAACATTTTTTTAAAAGAAAGTATTATAGAAGAATGTAAAAGAATTATTAAAGGCTGTTGAGCATTTACAGGAAAAATTACACCATTTGCTTTGCGCCATCGATGTATATTTGTTTCATTCGTGTGAAGTTTTCAATAACCGCTGCTCTGTTCCCGCGTTTTTTTTTTTTTTTTTGCATATGAAACTGCCTTCTGTTTCATACTTGCTTCATAGTGAACTCGTCTTGATACTATTATCGATATCTTTGATGTTTATGTAATTAAAAGAAAGTGTATACAAAAAAAATTCCCAAATACGAGCAGACGATGATGTTTAGGATTGACCGAAACTGGAGATAAACTGCGGAAATGAATAAGTCATAGATACAAGTGGCTAGAATGGACGGTTACATTTTTCCTTTTGAAAAGGGTAGAAACTGAATTTCTCCCACCCAACAAATGTTTTGCCTTCGACTCTTAGCCGCACCTGAATTTCAGGATCATTAACATTGGAATAATAGTGCGGCTTAGATTAGAGTAAATACGATAAATAAAAAACTTTATTTGAAAGCTTCAACATATACATTGATATATTTTGTTTAAGGTTCCATCAAATTTTGTTTTTCTAAAAGATCATTTTCTTTATACTCAAAATATTGCTCTGAAAGATAAACAGAATTTTTTACGCAATATCTTTTTTAAAATTTGAAACCAATTTCAAGTTTTTAAAGTATTTTGAAATAAAAGTTTTTATTTGAGCTCTGAAGGAAAAAAGAAATAAACACCAGATAGAAGGGGAATTCTTCTTACATTGCTGCACATAATTTTAACATTTAAATTGTCTTAAATTGAAATTAACAAAATTAGCATGAACATAATAGTCTAACTTTATTATACAATTCGTAAAACCTCTCTTCTCTCTCCGTCACATCTACGATTCCCTGTTTAAAATCAGTCCAATAAAATTTTTCCCAATATGAATTTCGATGAATGTGAAAAATATTTTGAATCGCTTGCTCTAAAATTATTTAGCATATAGTTCCTTAACAGCTTTCCCCAAATATTTCTAGATTTCAGGATCGGATTCGAATAAAATTTGGAACATGAACTATCTACACTACAGAGGTCGGCAACCTATGGCACGCGTATGCCATATGCGATATATATGTAATTGTACCACGTGCCATATGCTATGCGGTACTTTTCTCAATGGCCCTCTGCACTACTCTACAAATTTGCCAATATTTTAGGAGATTAAAGTTAATAAATTTATAATGGCCTTATTGGACAAACATCTCCAGAATTACGTGTATTTATCGAATCAGGAAAAAATCTGAAGGATAACTCTAAAGATAAATTTACAGCTATTATGTACTCGGCTTTCCGCTTTTGTATGCATATCTAAATGAAAAAAAAATCTTTCCTCGTATGAAAAATATTTCGAGTCCACAAAGAAATTGTTTAACAACTGATTGCTCAAAATCGTGTCAAACTGAAAGTCACAAATTTTACCCCTAATTTTGCGATATGTAAAGTGGTGCAAGTACAAGGTTCGCATTAAAATTTTTATTCAACTATAATGAAGGGAAATACTTATATTTTATGTTGCCTATTTCCTATTTGAATAAATATGTTTAAAAATATATAATATATGTACAACTTTAATATTTTTTTTTTATTTTTGTTGAAGAAATATGTTTAAAAATATATAATATATGTACAACTTTATTTTTGTTGAAGTAATAGTTATATTTTCTGCTATTTATTTTTATGTTAAGAAATATCTTTAAATGATGCAAAAATATTATATTA